AAAACTATAAAAGCTCTTTTACCCAATAATATTTTATTTTAGTTGTAAAATGTTGGATATATATTTTTTTTATAATGTATTAGTAGTATAGGTACCTACAGAATTACAAATTATAGGTATAGTGCAATGCATTATAAATTTATATCGTAATATGATTATTTGCTTAATATTTGATTAATGATTAGTAGATATATATATAAGCGATGACGGTTGCGACTTATATCGGTTTTATTATTTAATTTGTCGGCTTTATTACTATATCACTACTAATGAGTCAACTGTAGACTACCTATTTTGAGGAAGGGCACGCGTAGACGAATAGTTTAATACAGTTCTTCAGTGTATTTACAGACGTTCGGGCACCTAAACGTGCGTTTATATTGTAATAATTTATGATTAACCAACAACTATTCATAATGTTGTCATTGTTTTACTGTTAAAAAATAGTTTATTATCAATCGCGCTCATACAATGTTAACATTTTTAGCGGCTAACGTATGAGTTCGACCAGGCTGTACAACAAGACTTGCTATCGTTACAGATGGCGAACACAGACATCGGAAAAATAACAGCCAAGCAGTTTTATGCACTCCGCGAGTTTGAGTCATAATGATTATCTATAAGATAACAATACTATACAAGTAGACAAGTAGTGCATAGTAGTACTTCACGTCTACATGGTTATAAACGCGTAGCGCAGCGTAGATATTATATCATATATGTCGCGCCGTCGCGGGTTAGGTGCTTAAACATGTAAAGCAAAAGCTGACAGAAATTTTCCTAGAGCCATGTAAATTGTGGCAAAATGCTAATACACCTACTACCATTCCTGATATAGGTATAATCAATGGTATTATATAATAAATAATAATTCTTTCAAAATACCTCTATTCCTCTAATTCTACAATTTAAAATCTTATTTTCATGGCTTGGTTAATACTTATAAAAATATCAAATTACTTATTCCACTTACAAGTGCGTGTAAGTAGGTACTCTGCTTTACCTTTGGGCAGTGACCTACAAACACTATTCTTAACTCTAAGTTATTATTTTTAATTCAAAACATTTGGACGCATTTCATAAGTTTTTATGATCTGTAAAACATCACTTGGAATATATTTTTATCAGTCCAACAACCCAGTTTGTAAAGTATAAGAATTAGTAATTATCCGAGGAAAATTAATTACTCTAACTCCATGACTAGATAAAATCCTGACGTCAAATATCCATAGAGCACGAATCCGAAGAAATTATATAGGGGGGGGGGGTCATTAGGGAATGTTCACTATACATACATTATACTCGTACCTACCTTACACATTTTACTTTTTTGGACCAGTAAAAATGTTTCAATTTTCAACTTAATACACATATTATGGAAACTAATTGGATCTAATCATTCTAATCAGTATTTTTTGGAGTCAAAAGTAAAAATACACTATCATTTTCAAAATCACCGGGAAAACCAAAAAAAAAATAATAGTAGAAAACGAAAATATTTATGATTAACCAGCTTTTGATAAAATTAAATTTTTTATTATTATTTAAAAATGAATAATTATAAACTAAAATGTTTCACCAAATATTTATAATATCATTTTTTAAACATGAAATAATTTTCAATATATTTTGTGCAGTTATAGACATTTAACATTTTGTTTTTCATTTTATATATTACATTTTTGTTTTAGAACTATTATCTAATTATTAAAAAAAAAAAAAAAAAAATCATAATCGTTTTCTTATTCAACGATTTATCATTAGATTCAAATTTAAGTTTTAACACACCCATTACAGTTAATTATTAAACACTGAGATACACACTGGACAGTTAACACTTATGTATAGCAGAATGATTTCCCCATGTTTATGATTTATTTAAAAAAGGTAAAACAAAAAATCTAAAAAATAAAATGCCATACAGACAGATTGTAATTCTTCTAGTGAAATTGAATATTGAACACTCATAATAAAAAGGGGTGTTTATCAAAAATTTAAATGTTTACAAAATCTAGATAATACATGTACATTATACCACCCTCCAAAATCTACCATCTGAGGGTAATTCCCATACCACTGTAATTGTGATTGAGGGAGTTCCTTGTAAATATTTACAATGTCCACAATTTAATATTTCTACATATTTTACACGACTACACACGTATACTATTCAATATCGATTATCGTTAATAATATCAACCCCTACCAGTTAGATCATTTTTCATCTAAACATTATTGATATCATAAACATATTAAGCGGGAGAAGTGGAAGTTAATCACTCGAGAGGTACGTTTTTAACCTAACCTTTGGTAAACTATTGCGGTTTTACTCTTTGTATCTATTTTATTACAACTCGCATAATATGATCCAAGCTATTTCACAATAAAAAGAAACATCTAAGTTGATATAATAATAAATAGTATCCTAATTAATTCTCAAACTTAAAATCAACATTTAAATTGACTTTTACTGTGATTTTCCTTTAAAATTAATTCTGGCTTATTTTTGTTTATAATATACATTAATAAAACTTTTGAGGTTGAAAAGTTCAAAAAACAAGTCATAGATAAATGTGACTAATAGTTTTAATAAACAATAAACAAAATTTACATTGGTAATAATTATTCTAAGTAGTTTAATTAAAAATACAAATAGATAGGTAGTATAATATTTTGAATATTGGTAATAACATTTTTACAAAAACCGAGAGTTAATACCTAATTTTTATTTGTATTTTTGATCATAATTAATTTAAAACTGTATGTTCTAACCATTTTTAAAAAGCTACCTATGTTATAAAGTATAATATTTAAGTAATAATATTATAATGGGGAAACAATACGGTCATACCCTGCGAAACAATCCGAGATCCAATTTAGAATTATTCCGTACCTACTGAATAATAATATATAGATTCCTAATAATAAAAATAAAAACAGTCATGAGTCATAAAACGTACAATAATTTAATAAATTACAATATACATTATAAACAATTAAAATACATAATTTTTCGTGTAATTATATGATAAGTATTAAGTACTTAGCTATTGCAGTGTATGGCCAACAAATTTAAATGATAAATAATACAATAAAATTAGATATAGGTAATAATCGCATAAGTTTGTCTTATTAAAATCCGATTACACATTTTTCATCGCTAAAATTGAGAAATAATCAAATGTAATTACTAAAAATTATAAACGAATAAATAAATTGATATATTGCGGTACACAAAATTGCAGGTACGTAGGTCATATTGGTGTACTGGGACGTCGGAAAAGCAGAACAGGCCGTATCGGAAATCTTTTCTGAAGTAAAAGGCAACGGCTTTGGACAATTAGTCGTGGAGATTCGAATTTAGCATCTTTCGCATCGGTCAAACGTTGCGCAAAATGTATTTTACAAATGGAGAAACAAATTCACTTGCTAGTGAACAACGCCGATCAGTGGTACACGCCTGTCTAAATCTGCTTTTTGTACAATTACGGGGATCGAATCGAGAAATTAACCACGTGGGGTTAGAGATATGATCTGTCATCAGTTAAATATAAAGTAGTCGTCATACACTCCTTTTAATACAAAAGTTGTTAGCAAATTTTGTGATTTCATTATTATTTATTTTTATTAATGTTATATTTGCATTATTTGCAAGCTAATAATTAAATTTAAATTAACCTCAATATAGTGGTTTCTATTTAAAATTATCTTTTTTTCAAGGAGTAATGGGTAGTAGGAATTGGTTAATTGTACACTTAACCCTCGAGTGTAAGAGTGGTTAAACCTATCACCTATGGGTACTCAAACCTACGGATATTATTTACCTGCAGTTGTAATGGCTTGTTCCAGAGGGTCAGAGGAAAAACTCAAGACGGACTCGAAACAGTCAAAACCCAATTTGGCGTAAATTACTTGGAGCACTTTTTGTTCACGTCTCTCCGCTTACCAAGAATCCAAAACTTAACGCCCACCCGCATCATTAACGAGTCATTAACACGCATACAAGTTAATTCCAAAAACTTCAAAAATGTATTCGTCAATACAAAAAATACGGTCAAAAAGTATTTATTTTGAGAAGAATCGATCAATTTTGAAAACATCAACTCCGACAGAAATTACTTGGCTATTATAGCTTATAAACAGAGTAAACTGACTAATAAGTAGTTCTTGATAGAACTGGCATGTAGATTCGAAGGCACTATTATATAATATAGAATCGTAGAATTTGACACGTCTAAGTCATCTACCAGCACAATTAACAATAATATTAAAAATTACAAAATAAACATGTAAAAATTCGATTCTTTTAAAATTATGTTTTCGGTAAATCTATGTCCATAAAAATATTATTTTTTTCTTTTCAAAACGTGTTTATACTTTAAATTTATCCATATAAAAAAAGTTTTAAAGCATATTAATTAACCAAGAAAACGGTTGTGTAAAATTATCATCATGTATTACGTAATCACGGAACCGTGAACGCCAAATTGGTCAAAACAGTAAATCAAGTGTACCTACTTCCAGGGCATGTGGCTGTTGGAACATGTTATTATCTTTCTATTGGTAAAAACTCTAGAAAAAGAAGCTCTGACCACTCTGTACTGTTCAATAGATTAAAAGCCAGAGAAGAACCTGGACTTTATTACAAGTATATTATTTTTGGAAGAATTTTTTTTTTTTTTTTAATTATATATTTCTTTAAAATTGCGTATTTAAACGATTACAAAGCGAACGAATCGAAGCTGGCAAAAAAACTTTAGGTAAAAAACATGGAAATTGTTGACCTAAAATGATTATGACATGTTCAACTGCAGCGGAGACACGCTCCCCGAACTATTGAAAAATGCTTGAATTGTGAATGCTCAAGTGTATTTTTTAAACAGCTTTTTTTTTTAAAAATAATAAATATTTTTTATTCTTATTGTCGTGGTTTTACATTAGTATAATTATTGTATAACAACTAAGTGTTGACTGACAAAAGTATTTATATTTTTAAATATAGTTTTAAATATTTTAATATCGATAAAAAGAATTTTTGTTACCTAATTAATAATATTATAATATGAACGAATCACAGAAAACCCAACAAGTGAGCCCAATACTTTCAAAAATTGTTTTTATCTGGCGACTGGCGACAACTATAGTGTCTAATAGTTATTTTTGAAATATTTAAAAAAAAAAACATATAGGTAGCTGCCAGCTGATTATATACTTTGATTAATCTCATGAGACATAATAATTACCTAAGTTGAACTCCTTAGAAATACTTACAGTAGCAATTATAGTCTATGCGCCTACAGTATATTGAATTATTTTAGTTGGATAAGATGGTCAAGTTCATAGAGTTTGAAGCAAATGAAATTGAAAAAAATATTGACACTCAATCAGAAGATGAATATAATATTAAAAAAAATGAGATTATACTCAAAGGAAAAATGAAAATTAATCAATTGTACAACAAAAAGACAAAACTTATGAAAAGAACAACAGCAACGTGAGTATTAAAAAAATTTAAAGGTAATATTGCAAATAAAAAAATTCCCTTTGGTCTACTTCATAGAATGATTACCACGCTAATGACCAATGCCAAGTTGGAAATATTGAATGTCAGAGATAAATTCATTAAATCTGTGTTAGCCAACGTAAATAAAGAACTGTTAAAATTACGTAACCATGAATCGTATTATAGGGAAATTCTCAAAAAATTAATACTACAAGCAATGTACAAAGTAGTACTAATATAATGGTCGACCATTTAACAACAAATTGATACTTTTATTTCCGTATATTTCAAGGTTTTAGAGAAAAAAATAAGCTTAATACTAATATCAGATGATGTGGAATGTGTGAACTCAATGATCCCTGAATTAAAACAAATATATTTGGCCGACACAGGAATAAATGCTGAAATAAATATTGATAATAATATCAAGTTACCAACTCAAGAAATAGGAGGTGTTATAGTCGCAGCCAAAGGTCAAAGATTACTTATTGAAAACACGCTGGTGGTGAGATTGCTCTATCTCACTCAACAAGCTATACCAATAATATGTACTGGGCTGTTTGGGCCAAATCCCACTAGAACTTACTTAAGAGATAATTACAAAATAAGGAATTAATTTATTATTTAATATGTTTGAGTAAAAGTAGGATATATCACAGAAATAAGTTTTATTTAAGTATTAACTTGTTAGTGTAAGTCAAACAACTAAATTTGAATAAGATCTTGATATTTAGGGGCGTTTGTATCTGTTGAGCTCATGTTATCATCACTGAAACATTGATAAAATTTCAAGTCAAATTATATTAATTCCAATTAATTTTGAATCTAATTCACCTTATTAAGATTGATGTAAACAATGACGTATCATAATGTTCAAAATCTAGAAAAAAAAAACATTGTGTTTGATAGTCAGTGAGACAATTAAAAATCTAATAAAAATCAATCATCTTTAATATATTAATATACCAATTGATGTTTTCTGGTCGTTCACATCTGAGAATAACAGACTTTGAGCTTCAGGAACAGTTTTATTGATTGGAAATGACACACCCTCACCAAGGCTGTAGGAGAATCATTAGTATTAATACATGCAGTTAGATGATAAACTAAGATAGAATTACTATGTTAATAAGCTGTAGAACATTTTAATACTATCAAGAAAATATTGCAAATATATATAATACTAATATTTATGATTTAAACAAAAGATTTTACCAAATTATTACGATAAAAGAAAAACAACACTTTTTTTAGTATATTTAGTCAAATAAAAAACTCATATTATTTTATACTGTGTTATTTGTACAGGTCAAAAATATGTAGAGTAAACAAACATTACCAAAAATATACAAAATGTCAAAAATATAAAATTGCTCACCTTATTAAACAAATTAAAATATAATATATCTTAATAAATTAACAACATCAATAAAATTAAAAGTAATTATATATCTATATGAATATCGCATTTTTTAAGCAAGAATAAAATAAACAATAAGAGAGAACACAACATAATACTGATTTGAGCTTTATGTGTACTTGTTTATTTTTATATTGTGCATAGAATAAGTACTAAACGTGTCTTGGTATAAAAAAATGTCTAAACAGTAAATGGTGTCCTGGATTTGTTTGATGATTGCCTAACACTATCATTAGACTTCAGGTCGCTCGCCAATGGATAAATTACACCATCCCCCAAACTAAAACAGAAAAATTAATATCAGGCAACGTATTACGAATATCAAGACGTATACCCGGGAATATATTTACACTACTCGTATAGAAAATTGGTAAGATAACGTTAAGAACGGCTGTTAAAATAAAATGTTATTAAATCCACAATGATTGATCCATAATATAGCCTTTCTATACGTTTTCAAAACCATTTTATAATAATTAAATGCACTTAACCAACTCATAAAAACATAATTTAATGCTATAAAAATATTATATTTTACTTTAGAAAGTTGTAATTACAAAATAAAAAAAAACGATAACACTAGATTTATATTTAAAAAAATGTAAAGGAATTTTGAGAAATTTGACATTTAAGGGGATCTTAGATTCTAAGGAACCTTTTATAATCAACTTCTTATGCATTCTACAATTCAGCGATACCATATTAGTTGTAAGTATATAGGTTTCATGATACTAGGACTATTTAACTTACTTAGATGCACATATCAAAAATTATAAAAAATAATTATTTAAAAAAAAGTATTTTATTTTTCACTCAAGTGAATAATTCAAATTTTACTAGTATCTCATAATGTTTTTATTTCAAACATTTTTTTAAATTCTTCACATAAAATAAGACTATTTAGATTAAATATTTTAGCTTGAAATGTTTAAAATAATATCATACTCACTTGAGTTAATTTCATTTCACATAATATAGCAAATTTAAAAGTAAAAATATTATTAAGTCCCAAGTAGGCTTTATTGATGTTTTAATTTAAATGTGTTATGAATATTTTAAAATTGCAAATCTCTAAACAGAGTTAAAATTAATACTGAGATTTCATATATTAATGCAAGAATAACATTAATTATGCATTGTTTATTGATACCTTAAAAATGAATTTAAATTAAAAATAATGAATTAATATTGTGTAACTTTCTGGCTTCTTCATCAAAAATAAATTTCATACTATAATTTCCCAAGTATATTCTGTTAAATTTAATAATCACAAATCAATTTTCTTAAATTTGTGAACAATTTCATTAAACTACATTCAAAAAATCAACAATATTTTTAACTTAGAACAATTATCTCTACAGTCATAATAAACAAAATATATTAAAAAATAAATAATATAATGTTTGCAAGCTCGAATTTTGAAAATTTAGAATATAATGATTTTTTTTTATATGTAATGAACTAATGAATAAGAATAATATTTATTTCCTAGCAATGACTTAACACGTTTCCATAATTGGTAAGTGCATTTAAAATTTGAATACCCTCTTATTACTTACCGAGTATCTATAGGAAAAGGCCACAAAAGAATTTCTTTACCAAACACTTCTTGTATATTTCTGCAGCATCCCAAGTTGAATCCATTTTTATCATTACCTTCCAAAAATTTAGGAGGACGAAAAGACTCTAAGAAAAAAAAAATGAATACTCAACATATCTAATAAATATTATATCAATAAAATATATTTAATGGTTATAATTAAATTGGAGAATTTGGAAACTATAAACAAGGTCAAACTATATAGTTTAAGCATTAATTAAATAAAATATTCAAACATACTAGGTATATTATCAAATATTTACTATGTTAAATATATTTTTAATGTAACTTAGCATAAGAGAATATTTAAGCAGTTTATATGACCTATCTTTTGAAATTGTACAAAATTATTATATAAAAAAAAAAAAAAAAAAACAATGACTGGTAATTCTACAATGACCATAACAATATAAAGTACATTTATATATGATTACTATTATTATTTTTTAATTAAGCTCAATAATTCAAGCCTGATAGCTGTAGAATTTTATGATTGTTACTTATGGGGTATGGTACAATAGGTTTTGAGAACAGATGTTTCCATAAGCGGGACATGGCTTTGTTGCTAAGAATCCAGATAGTCACCCATCCGAGAGCTACTAATATCAGTCAGTATTTAACCACAATACTAATTATAGACTGTCATAGTGTTAAGCCTCTTAACTCTACATCATAACCATGCCCCAAAAAGCGATAAATATTTATAATAAGACTGTATTATTATTTTAATTACCTAATGTTGTTCTGTTTTTTGAAACCAGGTAGATGTGATATGCAAGCAATGAGAATAAGCTTAATGAAAACATTGAAGCAATAAAAAACAAGAATATTATATGAATTTTATAAGATCCTTCTTGAATTCGCTGAAAATAAAGACAATAATTATTATTGATTTAAAAAGATTAAAAATACATTCTTAAATTTATTCATATAATTGCATTATAATAAATATTTTTGTTGATCAATCAATATTTTAAATTGTTATTTCATACAACACATAAAGGATGCATACTCACCTAAAATGTATCTTTCAGTTATGTATTTTTTTTAATTTATAATTGCAGATACCATTTTATAACTAATGGATTATTATAACATTAAAAAAATATTGATACAACTTTATTTTCTAACAAATATACATAAATGATTTTAAGTAAAGCTAATTTATTGAAATCTATTACTATAAAAACTGAATACCCATAATTTTTTTATAGTAATCTAAATATTAATTTATATTTAATCATAGCCAAGAATTCATACAGTTAAAGGTTTATAGCCAAAAACATATCTATGATTTCTTAATTTTCCTTGCAGAGAAAATATTTAGTTTTTTATTATTATTTGGAAACCACATTTCTTACTGTTAATTGTTAAAAATATTATTTATTGGTAAATTTAAAATTTAAACAAGTAATGTAAAATCTTTCCATTTATTTTAAATTTTAATGAAAACCAATTCTAAAGCCTATTGTCTTTACATCAGTACATATACTGATAACTTAAAAATTGATCTAATTTTGATTTATAGATATAAAACATAAGCAAACATTCTTTAAAAATCATCATTTCAATAATTTACAAACATTTTCATAAATGGAAAAAATAAACTTGTATCACTGTGGAACACTTAAATGGCATAAAAATTTTTAATACTTTAAAAATATGATCTATAAGTTACTCAAAAAATCCTAAGACTCTGAATTAAAATAAATAAATTAATGATTAAAAGATACAATACCAAAAAAGAGTTTGCTTAGATTAAAAGTATGTTATATTATAATTTTAAATATATATATATATATGTATATAACTCCAATTATTCAATGAAATACAAGCATTTAAAATTATGTGTACAACATTATAGAGCTAAAATCTGAACGACAATGTACATTTTACATGTAAAAATCTAGAAAAATTAATATGATAATTTTAATTGCTAAAGATATATTTTAAACTTTTTTTTTAATGTGATTTAAGTGTATATTATAAGTAGAGACCGGATTCTCGTGCAATTGCAACTTTTTTTTCTTTTGCTTTAAAACATATAAAAACAAATTATAAATCCGAATCATGAGAAGTAGATTAATTTAAACGTAGTTTTATTTTGCACGAAATTGCACGATTTTAATTTTCATTGCATGATGCATTTTTAAAATTAAACTAGATAATATTTCAGTTTTCAACTATACAAAAGGAAAAAGTGAACTCAAGCTGATAATATATTCTTAGAATAACATCAACTTATTAGTGTTTTGTGATAAAAATAAATGACAGCAAATACTAGTTAGATAATAATTTGGAATGTATAACATTGTAAATTTTAACTCAATAAAATTTTTTTTATGTATGTATAATAGTTAAAATTAAAATTAAATAGCTTAACTCTGTTTTTTTTTTTTACACAATGTGTATATTCTTATCAATATTTTAATTATTTTTTATTTTTTAATTATTAATTGCTAATCTTGTAATAGAGTAAAAAACTGGATAAATAAAGTATAATTTAAGGGTTTAAATCAATGTACTTTAAATGTTTACAAAATGTTGGTAAGTATTAAGCGATTTTAGGTCAAAAATACATTTTTGCACGATTTAGGTACTTAACTGAACATTTTTTTTGATTTTTACTGCATGAAAATCCAGTCTTTAATTATAAGCAAACATTACACATAAAAGTATCATTACTGATGTGATAATAATTTTTATAAATTTTCTAGTTTTTTCATAGTAATAAAAATATTAATTAAATTACATAAAATTTGATTAGAAATATGGCAATACCACGCAAACTAAAATTTACAAAATTTATACTACTAAACATCTTATATTTATTATTAATATATTTTCAATTTAAATATGTATTGATTTTTTTTTTTTTTTATATATATAATAATTTATATTAAGTTAACAATACCAAGATATTTAATATAATTTAAAAATAAATACTATAAAAAGTTATTGAAATCATCATATAACTCAAGAAACTTTTACATGTAAAAGTAAAACATGGGCAACTGTACTCTTGTATACTTAAAGAGCTATTAATCAACTATTATTATTTCATCAAATGATTATTATTATTTTTTTAATTTCTGGTTTTTATTTAAACGTTTTTCATTAATACAACAATCATCAAACTTAAAATTTAAATATCAAATAATAAATTATTTTCACAAAAAATATAAATTCATTGATTGATAACATCAAAAAGATATTTAAAAAAAAAAAATAAAATAAATATTTATTTAATGATTAATAACATTTTACTGGACAGTTATTTATTATTTTTAGATAATTACAATATATAATTTATTAATTTTGAAACTTTAAAGTGTTATTAGTACCCTCAAAGAATTATGATTATTGATTTAAAATATAATTTTAATAATTTATTTTCAATTATAGTGTTAATTTATAGATAAATAAATAAATATAATCAACAATTTAAAGACTCTAATATAATAAAGTATTAAAATATTACCATATCTGTAGTAATATCCCAGAATTTGATAACATATTCAACTGTTGTAGCTGCCACATAAATACACAATAAAAGACCATAGGCCAAAAATAGTATAAAATACTTGTAGTTAGAATATGATACGCAATTGTTCACCCATGGACAATGGTGATCCATTTTCAACACACATTTACGACACACGCTACAATGGTGTGATCTATCTGGCTTGACTATTTTACATTTATCACAAAACCGAATATCTGAAAAAAAAGGTTCTACAATTTTTAAATCATATATAATCTACAGTACAATAAACGCGTACATTATCAAGATAAAAATAAATTATATTACCATTGGTATTTGTGAAAGTCATGATAGGCAAGTTCTCAGCAAAATCACGTAAAATAGCGCTTTGCCTACTCAAGTCTATAGGATTTCTATTGAACTCTTCAAATACTTCTTCTGGCAGTCTGAACTACAATAAAATAAATACTGCGTGTTAATAAACTAATGAATCCATCACTACCAGTAATCATAAATCATCTGTCAATACATTTGGTGGTGCGCCGCTTGGCTCTGTGAAAATAGTTTTGAAGTACGACCATAGGAACAACACTAGTATGATGTGGTACACTAGGAGATATGGTACCGACAGTTCAACAGACGTGACTCGATCTAAAAACAAGAGGTACAGAGAATAGACATTATGAATGTATTATTAATTGTGGCACTAAATGGCGTGTAGACATTATTATCATAGTAATGTCTGTTCAAACTTCAAACGACGAGACTTACTGAGGCACAGGTGATAGACGTACGCGTAATACGACCACGCGAGTATACACAAAATGAATATCACCGGGATGCTCTTGACTGCGTGGACGCAAACGGTGCAGCAAAATCTCTTCGATGACGGTGCCTCCATTGTTGATTCCAGAGGGTCGTAGGCACCATTTATTCACGATCTCCGTGATGTGAGCACAGGGCGATCGCTAAACTGTACAATACTATCTGTTGACCAACATTATTCGATAATGACAGTACGTAACCACAAATTGTTATTATATCATACGACTAAAGAAATCGCATTGCCTTAATTCAACGCAATAATAACAAATGATTAGTCTATAGGTGCAAGGCGTAAAATGACTACACTGTAAAGTGTAAGGTGAACGTGGACGATGTGACTCAAGTATAGTAATAAATAATAATAATAAAACTTCATAAAATGAAAATATGTGACAAGAGGGTGTTAACTGTCAAGTTCTCAGTACTCGAACGAGAACAGCGAGGCGCGAGCGTTTATACTTCACGGCACGTATTTGTTTGATGTTTATTATCTTTTATGTGGGCGACCGAGAGTTAGAGGCGGCCTGGGTAGGCGGGCAGCGACCAGTTGTTGTGAGGAGCAAGACATGTACATAGCGATTGTGTTATCTTAAATGCTTAAAATCAGTGTTACCAACATTTCGTTGTTCTATGATGATGATGATCGATAATTCGCTACAAACTTCTGATTGACCGATTTAAATTTACCACCAAATTTAATTCGTATCGAATTTTCCACGTGAGGAAACGTATTATTTAGTATAGATTTATTATTTAGCCACCATAATTTACAGATTATAAGTTATAACCATGAATTATAATTTATATCATGATGAAGTAGGTATAGGATCATTGGGATCTATTTAATATAAGTGCATATTATTATTTTTGAAATATAATTTAAAAAATATATCGTGTAACGTTGTATAGTAAGGCGTATGTCAGTTGTAACTTTGTAAGTAGCCAAAATCTTAGTAAGTTATTTTATTTTTATTATTAGTGATATGAAGCTATATTACGGGCATATATCCAATTAACAATTCGCACAATTTGTTACGAATTCTACAACAATAATAGTGTTATAATATAAAGGTGTAAAATAATAATCTTAACTGAACAATTTAATAATTATGTGTGATAGAAAAGGAGGGGTCAAAATTGGCTATAGACATACAACGACGAAATGCCTTACTTAAACCATAGTTATAATGAGAAAGTTGGTAGATTAAAAATAAACATAGTGTCGAGTACTCGAGTAAAGCGTGAAGAAACATTGAAAAGAAATTGAAGACAGTACACAGCCGTATATCTACCTAGTATTACTATATAGTAATAGTACAGACGTACAGTTAATACTTACCTATACATAGTGCTTACGTAAGTATTCCCTAGTTTCGCTATTAACTATCAAAATATTTAATTGTATACTATGTGCAAGAAATTTATAAAATTAATTTTAATGAGTGATGAACATTCATATCAATAGGTACATCAATATACTTTTCGATCAGAAAAAATGATTTACCTTTCGATAATTAATAATGTACCTATACAAGTGATTAAAATTTAGGGGCGATGGTAAACTCTCCCGATTTTTAAAAATAGTAAACTCTCCCGGATTAATATTATGTTTACCTGAAGTAATTGCGTCCCGTTTCAAATTTTTTATGTAAATTGCAGCCCGGGTATATTTTATACATACGTAAATTGCGGCCCCGTTACATTTTAATATATTTGCTTACTTAAGTATTTATCATTGTTATGTAAATTACATTAAGGGTTGTTATTGAATTTAAAAAAAATACAAATACTAATTTACCAAATACTGTAAATACTGTAGACCAATGTAAAAACTCGTGCAAAATATTTCGATCAAATGCACACTGGCTAAATTACAGGATACGCTGGTATCGCATCTTCTTACAACGCCTATATAAATTATAAACTCAGGTTTCTTAACATTTATTTTAGACGTTTTTAAAATAAAAATTGTAAATTTACTATTTCTTTAATCTTTTGAAACGTTTTTTTTTTAATACCTAAATACCTAAATGGAACCAAAACCAAAAGAAATAAAAATATTTCAGACCTTGAGGCCTGTGCTATACACGACGGATGTAATACACGTCGTGTTTTAATCCGCGACGGAAAAGCCTATGGGCTTACATTTTGGCGAATAAAAACGCAAACTTCTAATTTTATATTATTTTAAATTAGGATAGACTATACTGGTGATAGAAAACGTCATATTTATACCATAATTTTATGATTTTTTTTTTTTAGATATTATACAAATATACGCGGAAAAATACACTCGAGGGATACGCCTTGTATAGTCCAGGCCTGAAAGAAATTACTGAATTCGTGGAAATGTCCACATCAAATTTAACTAAATTATAATAATTGTATTATTGAACCTAAGCCTAGGAACTGCCAACTAATAATTATCCAACAATTATAAATAAATATTTTTTATTATTTATTAGGTAGATATTTACTAGGTAGGAACTCGGCTATTAATATTATCTAGCATTCACTTTTATATTAGGTATCTACCTACCTATCTAATTAAATTAACATTAGGTAGGTACATATAATATATACCACCTGTATAAGACATAAAATACGACTATATATTATATAGGTAATATATATCATATTTTAATATTATAGTATAATATAGTATTTTACATTAGCAAGATCATAGAGATATATCTGAAATGACTGTAAATTGTAATAACAATAAGACGCATGGATTTTTTTATAAAAAACAAATACATAGGCACCTAACTCCAACTACGTGCTATTGTCTTATTTTATACATATATTATATAATAGATAATAAATTATGTATGATTATTATTTGATCGTATTCTAACACTTTAAGTACATATAAGGCTGCATTTTTTATAGGTAGATAGGTACTTACCTACAATTTATATGGATTCCATATATTATATCTACACTATATTTATTACATGATTGTGCATATCAAATTACTGAGTAATCTTTCATAAATTATTTTTATTTTTAAAACCAATAGCTACAAATATAAAAATATGTATGATGTATTTATAAATTTCAATTCAAATAATAAAACCATTTTTTAATTTAAACAAATATAATTTGGTTTTTGTTCATTGAACTTAGTAACATATTTTTCTATAATACTTTATCTATAGATAGATATTTTATTATGACACAAAAATGTGTTATATATTGTTATTATTATTATTATCATATTATATATTTAAAAGTATATAAATGGGTAACCTATTATTAGAGTGCAATTACCATTAAGGATATTATTTTATTATTAAGGAATAGATATGGGGCATGGTCACTTAAAATTTAACATAATTTACTATAACATAACAGTTATCGTAGAATCAAATTTCGTTTATAAAAGAGTGATAATCTATTCGTATGTTCGGCTTAAACAAACTTAAATCTTTTAACCTACAGGGTATTTAAGTCAAAATATTATATAATTACATATTTATGCACAAATGGTAAATTTAATTTAAGTTGTATACATGCAACATAGTATTAAACTGAAACCATTTAATAGTAAATAAACCATACTTAAATATACTTCACACAAAAAATAGTTATTTAGTGACAAAATATAATATATTCATTATTGCTCTGTTTATACTTAAATATTACAATTACTTAATATATTATCAAATTCAAATATAAAGGAATTCAAATTAATTGATTTTTAATGGAGATTTTACAATATATATTTTTTTAAGCAAGTTATAAGTATAAAAATATTACAATTTAAAAATTAAAATACTTTAAAAAGTCCATGAAAATGCACAGATAGTGTTCTTATTTTTAAATTTTGTATTAAGTCAATTCAATCTATTGTTAAAGTTTACTACACAAAATTAAAGCTGTTGAATACAAATTTGGGATGTTGTACATTTGTTAAATAGAAACACAATGGAGTGTGACATCCTCCAAAGAAAAATTTCACTAAAAAAAGATATTTGTTTTAATAATAATTAATATTTAATTTTTTTTATTACATTAAAAAATTTAGTAAATTGTATAATTTTAAATTTAGGAAATATCAATTAATTAAAAATTTACATTTTAATAAATGCAATATTTATATATTCTATATCATATTCTAGTTATTTTTACTGATGTACATTAACTTTATTCAAAATCATATAAATAAACAGTTTTTAAATAAATTCAAAATATTCAATTTATGCTCCAATCAGGTGTTTTCTATACCAAAAACGAGCTCTGAAATCATCTGAACAAGTCAAAAATGCTGCTGAATTCGGTGAATGAACTATTGAACGAATAGGTCCATTATGGCCTACAAAATAATTCACAATAAAATCATTTTAATAAAATAAACACATTCAAAGAAATTAATTAAGTACCTAGTGATAAAAGTTGTTGCCGTGAAGCATTTCGTGCATTCCATGCACACAAAGATGTAGTGGCTTCATCTGGAAACATGACATACTCTTCAGTATGATTAAACAATGCTTGTGTACGGTGTTCTTGTTTTCCTATTCAAAAACATTGATTATTCATAAAATTTTGAACAAAACAAATACTAATTTACCAGTGGTTCCAGCTCCAGTATATGCAATCAGACATCGACTAGTGGACAATTCCCAAAGTTTCACTAAAGAATCTTTACCTGATGATAAGATGTACTGCAAATGAAATAGAAAATTGTTTTATTTAATATTTATAAAAATTTAATTAAAAACATTATTACCTTTCCATTTCTTGAAAATGTCACAGAACACACTTGACTACCATCGTGTGCTTTTTCAAATGTGTTAACACATTTGTTAGATACAGCGTCCCATAGCTTAATTGAACCATCTCGACTAGAAGACACAAAATACCTGGCACTTGGTTCATATCTAATAAATCATAATAAACAATATATTTAAAAATAATTTAATAGGGATTTCATATAAAATAATTTTTTGTATACTTAATTGCTGTAACAGGACCAGTATGTTGATGACTGGGAAGTGAACAAACATAGCATTGAACTGTATTTATATCATAAAGCCTTATAATAGGGCTGTTGGTGCCCATTACTATAAAATCTCCAATGGGGTGAAAACTTATACATGTTATAGGTTCAACATCCTGTAATGTAGTTGTATGCAATTAAAATAATTTTTAAAGTATAAAATTTGATAATGTCTCACATTTATTGTCTTAAAGGCTTTCTTCACAGATGTTTTAGAATAATCAAAAAGTTTAACATGACAATCTCGAGAGCCTGAAGCTAAAATTGGTTTGTTTGGATGGAATTCCAAGCACGTTACTTCCTCCAAATGATCATATAAGGTTCGAATTACTGGATGTCCCTGTCCTTCTTGGTTATCAGTGCTACCAATATCATGTGCTTTAGCCAGCATTCTTTCAACATCTAAAATCTATTAATATTATTTTAATAAATCTTTTAATTTAATGTCATAAAATATAATTACTTTGATTGATGCATCACTGCTTCCTGTAGCAATTAACTGCCCATCAGGGCTAAAAGCACCAGCCCTACAGGCTCCTTTGTGGGATGTTACATATACAGTTTCATAAAGCGATGGTTCGGGAGCAGTACAACTAACATTAGTCTCAAATTCCAAATCTAATAAGATTCAAGTAAAGATTAAATATATAAATTTATTTGTTATATAAATAATTAAGCATACCAATGCCTGGTCCAATTAACATTTGTTGAATTGGATTTAAGTTTAATGCTTGTTCAGATTCTTTTTGTCTATCAGTTTCGTGTTGTAAGCCTTTTGTCACTACACTCATAAGTCTATCAGAAGGAGAACAAGGCGGATCAACGTTAACCTGGGCAGCTAAGCTTGATGCAATTGTGGAATGGCCATCATAAAAAAGTTGACTAAACAAATCAAAATCGGTATAAATCTAAATACTATGGATTAATATTTATTAGGATTTATATTTTACCTTATTATGAGCCTGTATAAATGATCTCTATTCTTAATACACATTTCAGGTTTAGCATTATTTACTTCACTCCTCATTTTAAATGTTTATTGAACTATTTGAACTCAATCTCATATAAAAATAATGGATAAACAGTAACTTAAAAAAATAAAATTATTAGTTAAGTGTTTTTAGATCATACTATAATGTAATTTATTTAATATTATAACAAGTTAGCGACATAAACCTAATATTAATATATCATTAAATTATTATTTTCCCATATTTTCTAGTCAATTATGCTGGAACGGATAAAGTTTGAAATATGATAACACTATCAGTTTTGTACACGGACATCCAAAACTAAAAACAACACGAGTAAAATACGTCAGTAACTTCATTCATTAAGAAACCGGCGTCCGGCAAGGCGCAAGCTGCACGGTGGCACAGCTACACGTGAGACTGTGAGAGTCGTATAGTGACTTGTATTTTCACTCGAAAGTCAAAAATATGGCTTACATTTCTTACTGAAAAAACTCTCAGCTTAGTTAAATAATCTGATTTCAATAATTATTTTTTATCTTAGCATTTTCAAACTTTGAATTTAAACTTTAAAAATTCTATTTCTAAACTAATATTATGGTTTTAAATAAGACGAATTTTTACTTTTAACAAGCAAATATTACTCAATTGTAATATATAGTCTATGTAGCTTGTGTAGATACTAGATAGTTATAAGTTAAACTTTTTAATGGTTTAACAAATACTAATCAAAGTTAAATCATATCACTTGTAGAAATTATTCAACAAAAAGGTTAGCATTCTAAATTTAGTATTAGAATTTAAAATTGTACATTATTTCTCTTTAAAATATGTATCTTATCTCGATAAGATTAATCTAAATATTTTATTTCCTCAATTATTATTGAACTTGGATCATATTTGGAAAAACCGTTTATACCTATTAATTTATTTTGATATGAATCGAAACTATATAAATATAATATTTTTTTTCTTATATTATAATAGACTGCAATTGCATACTATTAATAGTCTATATTTAAAAAATGTTTAAAAAAAAACATTAAAGAATGCACTAAAATATGAAATCAAACTTGTAAAATAAGCCCTTAAAATACAAAAATGTCAAAAAATGAAAAAATATGGACTAAAAAAGTTTAAATTTTTAAATCGTTATGTTATGAAACAAATTTTGAGCTCACTTGGCATATCAGAATAAATATGGAAATGCATATAAATATTACAAATCCGCGCTTTACTTATAACCGTATGAATCTTATAGGTGAAGTGGAATATAAAAACAAAGTAGGCACTCATGAATTTTATTTTATTATCTTGCTTTTATTTTAATCTACTTAAATACATACATATTACCTATTAATATTATTAGTGCATTAATAAAAAAAATGAAAATTATATTATTATAAAAATTATTACATATTAATAAACTTTATAAATTATGTATGTACTTACTTTTTACTTATGAAAAAAATTAATAATCCTGATTTGTTTTGAATTACGTTCTAATATCCCGAAAATGGAATTTTTGAAAATTTTCGACATTTCATTTGTAATTTTTGAAAATAAGTTTATTTCTAAATATTGACCAATAATATTTATTTTATACCATTTTTTTTTTTTTTTTTTTTTTGTTTACGAAATTTGAGTCTTATAACCGAATTTTTTTATAATGTATTTGGATATGTCCGTTCCAAACGATTTTGAGTCTATTAAGCGACTAAACTTTTTATACGCGAGTCTTATAACTATAAGCGACGTCCACTATACCAACAATACCATATTGATTTTTGTACAAACCTAATTAGTATTTAGTAGGAATATAAAATACCTACATCGCGCGTGCAATAATTGAAAAACAAATAACGTTTTAAGTTAAGGATTAATAATTTAAGCCACATGTATTTTCCAGCAACAAAAAAAAAAAAAAAATAGATATACGTCATTTATGAATTTATGATTTAAAGATTATGACAGCCAATAGGTCATTTTTTCCGAATTCCAAGTTAGTTACATATATTGGCAGACCACTAAAATCTACACATCTTTTTAATTTAAATTTATGTCGTCTTAAATAGATTTATTTACTTCTTTTTCTTTTCATGAGGTATATTTGAACTTAACATACTAAGCATTTTTGTTTATCTTCATTATTTTAAAGATGTAAAATTAATTTTATTTTCATTAAAAAATGTATTTGGTTGTTATAGTCAGTCATAGTAATATCATACTACTAATAGGTATGTAACCAGATCAAATCTAAAGAATGACATTTTATTGAGCTCAAATAACACTATATACATTTCAAAATATGGTAAGCTTTAATTATTTAAGTTTAAAAATCATTACATGATTTGATTTATGTCTTAAGAATTTTTTTTATAATTAATACTCCATAAAAGTTCTGATAATTAGTAATATTCATTTTTATATTTTATGGAGTAGAATACAGTATACTTCAAAATGCTTATAAATTTTAAGTAAGGATTTTAATGTAACACTTAAATGTTTTTAAATAATTCATCTAGAAATGCTTTTTATTGTTTCTATTTTAAACTAGTTCTATCACAAAAATATTTTTATTTAATTAAAAAAAAAGTATATCAGGACTTCTAGGAATGCAAAATTTTAATATTTTATTGAAATGCTATTTCATAAATAAATAAATAAAATTAATATTAGTATATTCTATGAATTAAGATTTAATTGATTGAGGACTGCTCTCCCATCATAGCTAAGATTGTGTTACTACAATATTGATATTCATATATTATTCATATATGATATATCTATTATTAAATGTATCATATAATACTGTTGTTGTAATGAAGTTGTTAAAGTTAGTAATTACTATTAGTAATAATAAATGATTAAAAATAAGTATAATTTAATATGTATTTTTTTTTTCATGCTATGTATGAACATAGTATTTAAATTTTAGCATTAGGGCCAATTAGTTCTGATAAATGAAGGCCTATAACTATATTATAATGATTTTTAATAAGTATATAATGGCTACAAAAAATTATCTATTGTAATTTTATTAACAAACCAAAATTACAATAGTAGTTTTTATTATTTATAAAAGATTATTTTTTAATATCTATAATTTAATAATTTCTTTTTTTTATCGAACATAAAATGTAACAACATTTAACCCTATAAACTTAAATATTATACTTGGATATTTAAATAAATATAAATTATTCTCACAATAGTTATTGATATTACTACTTTTTAAGATTTTTATACAAATTCAAAAACTAATTATAATATATTTTACATTTATAATTGGTGAAAAAATGCATATTATTCTGTTATTTTGTTTCTATAAAATCGTCATTAAATGTTAAAAAAAAAATAAAAGTAAACTACATAGTTTTTATTTGGAACTGGTACTATTCATTGTAGTACCAGTTTTTTCATGTCGACTTTTGTATTTGGCAATCTCACGACACACTTTTCTGACAATTGACGGAGAATAACCTATGTCTAATAGTTCTAACATTGCACTGTAAACAAAACCATTATAAACATTAAAACATTGACAATTTCCATTTCATAAATTTTAAATAATGGTATATTTGAAGAGATGACAGAACCTATCTTAATGTTCCTTAACACAATTCAATTTAAGAATTAATAAGACTGGATAATGAATAAATGATATTATGTTACAAACAAAATATGGAAATAAATATATATTACACAGGACATCATTTCACAAGTAAAAAAATAATATGCCACAATATTTAACAGTTAATAACTAATAAAGCAATACCTACCTTGCAACATTAGGAGAAATTTTGACACCAGCCAATTGGGCAAGCTCAACAGAATCCAATATGAAACTGCACTCTGTTCTAATAAGAAGAAGTTAAAAAGGAGGGAGTTAAAAATGAGACAATTTGTACTTATGACAACAATAAAAGGTAATAGTAATGAGTAGTAAAAAAAATACTTATACTATAAAATAACAATGAAATATTTGAGGGACACTTATAACACGTAATTTTACAAAAAATTAAATTTAAATTTCATATATTTAATTTATTGAGTTAAATAGTTCAAATAGTGTTATAATAGTCAAGTTTATATCATGATTAAATAAAAAAAAATTATAATAATAATTATATAATACTAAAAGTATCATAGTAGTCAATAGTACAGAATTAATAAAAATGATAAATGTTATCAAATAATATAAAATGATCAACCTATAACTAAATTAAGCTTGATAAATTTGCATGCATTAAATATTTAAATAATATTGAATTAAAATAATAAAATCCATAGTTTTACTTATAACTAATTTAATAATATACATAAACTTTAATTTAGCTTGTATGAATAAATTGTTAACTAAATACTAGATAATTTATTGAATAATTAGGTATTTTTAAATATCAAGTTAAATTAAGTAAATTGTAGCTTATGTTCAAAACAAAATCTTAAGCTTTATCTTCTTTTTCTTTGTTATATCGTTCAAGTTCTTTAAGGAACTGTGCTTTAGGTTTCATTATATTTGGACGATCTCCACGACACTTAGGACAAAACCATTTGCCTTTTGGTTTTGTTGATAATGAAACACATGAAAAATGAAACCATTCTATTGGACATAAATCGTTATCGCAACATATCATTTCTCCGTATGAAATTTGATCACAAAGACAATAGGTTGGTTCATCTGGATCAACAGCTATTTCATCATCGTCATCCAATGATGGTGAATTATCCTTCTGTTGTTTTTTATACTTTCCTTTCTTTTTGGTTTTTGTTTCTGTTTTTTGAGTAACTTTTTTCAACGTTACTTGAGATTGTACTTGCGCTGTTGCTGTGGCTCTTGGTAAAGGTGTGTTGGAATGTTGTAAAACTGACATTGCCATCACATCATCAGAAATTTCTTTATAATCTGGCTCATCGGCTCTATTACGTCGTGGCCGTTTTGCAAGTTTTGCATCATTATTAGATTCATTACTATCATTATCAGTATTGCGTTTTTTCAATTCTTTAGAAACACTACTAGTACTAGTGCTAGGTAAACATCTTTCTTTAGAACAATTACCACTGTCTAGTTTTTCTTTGATACTTGGCTTAGGAGCATCAGGTTCTTTAGCAGAAGTCAAATATTTCCTACCAATTTCTAAACGTCTGACTTTATCATCTACCAAATCAGATATATTTTGAACTGTTTGCACCTTTTTATCTCCTAGATTTAAACCAGTTATTAATAGCTTTGTCAATTTTTCAGAATGTAATGAAGACATAGAACCATTAAAATTGTCTGTCAATTCTTTGATTTTTGACATCATTTCTTGGTACTCCAAATCACATTCACGCATTTGCGTTACATGCCGTTGTACATCTAAAGGCAAGTTTTGGGTACAGTCAATATAATCATTGTAATACTCTAAAGCTCTATTCGTTCGATTCGTCATTTTATCAAAAAATGTTCAACTCAATACATAGATTTTATACACTATAATTGCTATCTGGACAGTTTTATAAGAAAACAGAAAATAATGATTTAAATCAAACTTACTTCTCAAGAACCATAATGTCGAGTAGTTAGTCGTATCTTCGTAAACTGTTAATTAAATTCAAACGTAGGTGACTTAATAATGACAATATTATTGTTTAGAAGAACATTTTTAACGACCATCTAACAATTAATCATTACACAGGGTCAGATGACAGACACTGGTCACTGACAAATAAGATTAAGTATTACGTTAATACTTAACAAAATAATAAACAATACGACATACGTTAATAACAGTCTATATGTCTACAAGTCATAACAGTTAGTACAACATGGCTGGCTAATGGCTATTAGTTTTGCCTTTTGATATCAAAAAAAAAAAAAAACGAAAACTACATGGGGTATAGGTTGCTGATAGTGTGCAGCTGGCGATCACTAAATCTAAAACGATATTATTTTATTTATTATGTTAAGAGTTATCATTTGTTGTTGGTACTCTGTGGTGTAATCACAGAATAAACCCTACTCGTAATTTCATATGACCGTTCTCTTACGATGGGACGAGATACACAATAATATAACTATATCACGAAAAATGTTGGCAACGTTTGCTCGACATAATATGAGATTAGAGTTAACAATTCGACGTTATTATTGTTTTTTTTTATTGCCATCAATTGTGAAATGAAAAAATGTTCTTTAAGTTGTTAGTTAAGCTTCAACGTTTTTAGTACTCATTCGTGAATGAAAATGGTGTTTAGAATTCTACAATATTTCATGAATCAGCAGCAACTGGTAGATAAATTGGCGGAATCGAAGTTTATGAGAAGCGTTGCTCGGTTCGTTGTTCATAAGGCTATTCGTGCGAAATCATTGACAGAAGATATGAAGTCCGAACAATTAGAAAAAACTCTGAAAAACATCACCGAAAAGTTAAAGGACACCAAGAATAAGCTTGACGGTAAACAGTGAATACGTCAATTCGTCCTAGACTGTTGAATATACCTACCTATCCATATTAAATTTAGCTGTACAATGAAAGACCATTCTATAATTTTTTTGGGGTCGGAACCTTCGAAGGACAAAGATTCCGTAACGCGCACCCTGTCTTATTTCACAATGCCTGTGGACGATCTGCCAAAACGGATATTGCTATCGTTCACTCCGCCGCTGCATTCTAGATTTGTATACGTTGACTTCTTGGGGCCGTGTTTGGCGTTCATACTGTTGGCCACGATACTCGGCTACGGACATGCATACAAGACACCATCAGCCATTTATCACAGATCGCCCACCGAAGTGTTGTCCGTCTATTGTCTAACGATGCCAGCGATTTGTTATGTATTAACCCGTTTAGGAAAGTCTAGTATATCTTTTTTGCAGATATTGTCATTATTAGGATACGGTCTTTATGGTTATGTATTCACGCTTGTCATTAGTTTTATATCAGATGAAACGAATAATGTAATATTTTATTTGGCCTTGATACTGTTTACCGGCACTAGTGTTTTTAGAACATGTCTTATAATATTGTTAACAATTAAATTACCTGTTATCAGGCTGTTAGTTTGTAGTGTCATCGCCATTTTACAAACACTGTTTGCTGTATTTTTGTATTTTACATTTGTCCATTCAAGCTTTGCGTTTCGCAAACACTAGATATCTCAAATTGTACATAATTATTTGTTGATTAGGTTTAAATACTAAATAAATTAATGTGCACATTTAAAGTCATTTTATTTTATTTTTTTATCATAATTATAAGAAAAAATATTGTTACAAATGCAATTAGTCTCCCAAGTATTGTAAATGTCTTCATCGCATTATTAACAGTGTCAATATTATTCTTTAATGTTGTAACACCGTAAACACGAATTATCTTTTGAAATTTCATTGATACACATAAATAAAAGTTATCATCATACACAGACTTTGAAAATATTGTTATTTGAGACACATGTCTGTTAGTTGTAATAATGCAATTGTGAGATCTGTAATTATAAATAAAGTGTTGAAAATGTATTACTTCTAAAAATATTTCATGTCAAAAAGTCTTGAGAAAATTGGTTTTATTATATGATAATAGTTATTATAAAAGCAATTAGTGAAATTGGTGCTTGGGTACACATGTATACGAGTATTATATTACACTATTATAAAAGTTAATTTATACATGATTAAAGCTATTTTAAAGGCAATTTTAAATATGAACACAGAAAACATAATATTTTGAAAATAATTTTGTTTAGGAAGTGTATAATAAATAATAATATAGTATAAACAATATATTGTCCCATATACTAAACTAAATAATAAATTAATAGAAGATTTAATTTATATTTACATATTACAGTCAATTCTATATAAACTCAATTGATTAGATGTTAACCATACAACGTCTAAATCTTTATCCATAAGGTCATCCATGAAAATACAGCTTAACTCAATAACATCATTTTCATTTGTCATTGTTACTTCACTAAACGACATGTCTGATTAAAACATTATTATGCAATTGAAGTAAAGAATGTATTATGATAAAACGTATAAATTCTTTAAATATAGGTACCAGATAAGTTCCATGAAAGGGCATTGTACTCATTTTTGGAACTGATTATAAAATCTTTAGGATTTAAAATATCATCATTTAATTTTAAATATCCTATGATTCCTTGGAGTTGTGTTGAATTTAAATTTTCCTAAATAAATGTTAAGAAACAGAAACAGATCAATTAACATAGTAACCTACAGTTAACAGATTTATTACATGTATTTGTATATATAATTTTATTAAAGGCCTTATTTGAAAATTTGAACGTATTTTATGATACTCCCAACTCCGAAACTTTGTTAAAAGATTTGGCATCTCAACTATAAATATTGTTTATATTAATATATTATAAGCAATTCGAATAAATTATAAATAACTAACTTAAAAGTATCAATTAAAAAAAAAAACAACTATTACAACTTTATAATACTTTATCATTGATCCATTTATAATAAATATCATCAGAATCTTATATTACTTCTTTTCTTAGTCAACAAGCACTAGGTAAATATTAGTTTTTTTTGACAATTATGAAAATATCGGATTAGATTCACCTTTCTCCCCCGACACGGCACACACACACCACAAATAAATTGTTCCACCTTTTGATTTGTTTATATTATATTTATTAAGTTATAACTATGGGCTATTATAAATATTTATTTAAATTTTTACTGACTTGAAAGTTGCCAATATACAAATAATTTTCGCATAGTTCAATAAGCATGTCATCGGGTACTATCAATGAACGCTTGTTGTCGTTTACACTCAAATACCAGCTATTACCGTGTTGTTCGATTTCCAGATGAATCCAAGACGAATCAATGTATTCAAACTTTATTGATACTTCGTTAAAGTATTCATCTAATTTTATTTTAAGTTTGAATACGTCGTTATTAATTTCTACTGACATGTAATCTGTTGTAGTGCTTCGGATTGAAATTAAATTTCCGCGGGCTAAAATTTCAAATCTCACGTACAATTCTAACTGAAGTATAATACGAAACATAATAATAAGTACAAGTGTACAACATGCTAAACACTTTATGATAGAACATTTTTTTTTTCGTTTGCAAACCTTCCAATTTCTTCTTAGTTGCGGGCAAGGGATCTTAATCGTGTCAAATAAATCTGAGTACGACTGCTCTTCCGATAGTTCGAAGACTGTGTTGAAAGTCGTGTAAGGTAAATACATGGTATCTGAAAACTAAATTAGGAATGTATTACATTTAGATATACCCAACGTCCATGACGTATAGGGCCTATAGAGAAATTTATTGCGCTGATATATATAAATATATAATATATATATTTATGTAAGTACTTTATCGTTTATGGTTAATGCGTAAGGTATAAAGTTCACATCAAATTTTTTTATGTAACCTTCGAAATCTTCTCCGATGATCATCACTTGGTCCAGATTTACAGTTAATATCATACATTTTATAGATGTTGAAGTTTGGTGGTTATTTAATTGTAGGACTACTTTGTTCTTGGTGATTGAAAAGGAAACTTCATTCCATCCAAACTGTTGATAAAAATAACACTCGATACAAACAATTTAAATCTTTTATCATCGCATAATATGTATTATATATTTTATATATTGTGATTATAAAGTTAGTTTAATGGTTGATAGAGATCTACACAAAATCATGTAAACATGGCTAATTATAATTTAGCAGATTCACATTCTTCATACGGAATTATTGGTTTAATTTTTTCTCACGTTTACTATGGAAGGACTTTGTAACGTAACATTGCACCCATCTAAGTTGACCGTCAAAATAAGATAAAAATTTATCAAATTCAGCTGAATGCTATTGCAATAATCGTCATCACAATCGTCGTTGTCGAACCGTCGAAGTATGGTACCGGACATGTCGAAAGGATAAAACTGTATAACTACGTACAGCAGAGTTGTACTTGTTTCCATAGCAGCATACTTAATGTGAGACTGTTTATCAAACGTGGCCACCATAATTGGTGGTCCTATCATTTAAAAAAGTGTAACTTTATATAAGTATAGGTACAATAGTTATAAATTATATAATCATTATAAATAATTTGAAAAATACTAAAAAAATCGATTATTTTAGTTATATGAATAATAGGAAGTTCGTATATCGTATTCAGTATTATAGTATTTACTACAACCTGCACTTTTTTTCATCAAAGCGTTTTTTATAATAGTATACACTATTACCTAATAATTATTAATAATTTTCACACCTTTGCAGGGCCCTACGTAACATATATTGGTCTGTTCAGTCTCTCCTACGCAATTTCGTCCAGAGCCTTCTGGTTCCGGTCGGCTACAACTTCGTAACCTATACCGGATTCCTTCATCACATGTTGCCGAGCAGGGACTCCATTTTTGCCATTCGGACCATCCTCCATCGACTGTTATGACAGAAGTATTGAAACAAAATGTTATTAATGATTATGTAACAAATGTTTTATTTCTAAACCAGCAGGGGATGGAATCTATAGGTTTATTAAGTTCGATTAGCTGTTTTCAAACTAATTACTTAAGAAAAAAATAGTTTAATATCCTTTTTTAAAGTTGAAATATTACTGTGAATTTGTAAAGCAATAATACAGTATAGTTCATTATAAAATATGTATATACCATAATGGATAATAAAAGGTACATAATATCTACATATTATATTTTGGCTGTAGAAGTAAAATGTTGACATTCATTTTATATAACCAGAAGTTAGAACACTGATTGAATGAGTAGTAAATACAATTTTTTTTTTGTCTAAAGCCAGGTTCTGATACTAATAACATTTATTATATTTTTGATTTTCTCTTATAACTCATAAGTTGAAATTCAATCGAATATCAACGGAATAGTTGAATACATATATATTACATGATGATGTATGCCAAATCTGAATTCGATTGAATATTGAATTTATAAAAACTGAAATGAATACTAAATTACTGGAAATTATATAGGTAATTTAGATACCTATATTTCGAATTATCGGTTCTTGTAGTATATTATAATATACCTATAGGTAGTACACTATAAGTACCGTAATGCTTTTCGAGACGAAAGGTTCCACTCCTTTCAACTGTAGGTCTAAATCGAAATTATCAGACATCTATACATTATATTATATTATGTCCTATCTTTAAATCTATATGACTATATTATATTGTACATATTACATATTACCTCCAGGTGCATAGCATTGACCGATTTCTGTGTGTGGTCCTGAACACGACATGTAGAAACTGTTATTATTGGTATTAGTGGACCGACAAAAACGTTTCCGGACGATGATGCCATTACCTTGCTGAACGCTACATTCTGACCATTTCATCCACTTACACCAAGTCCCATCTATTGAATATAATTTAATATTATATGAGAAGATTATTTACAGCTGTAGAGAGATATCTTAGTAAATATATTTTTATTGTTAAATTATTTTATTTTTTAAATTATATTGTATTTAAATTTAAAATTGGGATAAGTTATTATAGTGTAGGTACTCGTTTTAGCGATACACGATTTCCCGAAACAATTTTTAAATTCTATATAGTTTCCGGAACAGTTAAGTGAAGTTCTTGAAGGGTTAGGACGATCACAACGTCGTAATCGGTATTGCATTCCAGAACCACATGTTGCAGTGCACTTCGACCAAGAACTCCATTTATTCCAGCCTCCCCTAACTTAAAAACACAATTAAAATAGTAATAATTAATAATATTTTAAAAAAAGCACCTATTCCCTGGTATAGGCGGATAAAAACTATTATTTTAATTCTGACATTCGCTTACCGGGGCAGCCCAAGTTGTGTTTAACACATAACAACGCGTTCCACAACCGATCCTACGAAAAATAATTTGAAATAAAATAACGCTATCAATTTAACCATCACAAGAAGTATATTATTAAGAAGTTTTGACATTATTTTTATTGTCGTCCTGAGATGATTAAAATATTAAATTTCTAACTAACAGTATTATTAGTAAACGTGTTCTTCAAGGCGTAATAATTACAATGGCCCGAGAAACACGCATCCAAAATAATCTGATTTGTGTTTCTCGTTCTTTGCAGAATGTAATTCAACTCTCGTGTTCTGAGTTCATTTCCTTCGGTGGCTTCGGTGTAATTACTTATTGTACATCCTAAAACGTGACAAGTTTTCCACTCGTGATTAAATTCGCAGAGAACATCGCTTGACGTAGTACTGCGGTATCGAGACATGTAGCCAGTTTCACCACACAGACCCTTGCAATTGGTCCATCTTAAATAATAACAATAATAAAAGTTAAAATGTAAGATGTCGATAAAAATGGTTGGTAGATACTTGAATTGTAATCATGAAAAATATAGTTCTATACTTAAATAATTTACGTGTAGCTGTGTATAATTAAACATTGTCTGTATTTACTTGTTCCAATTAGGGTCCGAATTTGTTGAGTTGTATTTTGTATAATTCTTAGCTTGGACATGTTGTTTTCCTAAATCATACTATACATAGACATTATGTATTTATTGTAATTTTATTGTAACTTATAACATATATGTGTTTTCTGCACTATTAAAGATATTTTTTAATATTTACCTTTTAATTATTATTAAAATATTACATAATATAGTAGTACGTACAATACTGTATAAAATGATTTTGTTTTATTATTTATCGTAGTGATCGGTGAAATTTATCTTTAATACTATATTACTATAATAATAAATAATAATAATAATAATACTATAAAAAATAATAATATTATGCCCTCACTTACTATCTATAATGTATGTAATCATTAGCTTAATAACACAAGTCCAAATCCAAAACATTATTTTTAATGTTGTTATAGTTTCTTAAATATGTATTAAATTATTTTGTTACCGTCAAGTCAACAAAATTAAAATAACACAACTAACAACGCGGGTCACGTGGATCTATGGCTGCGGAAAATATCAAATTAGCCATAAATCATAATAATTATTAATGTAATGTATTGTATCTATTATTTATTTTTTATTTTTGCTTGAAATATACGTTAGTAAACATGTAAAATATGTACGTAAATATATACATGTTATATCCTATGTCTGTGGTAATTATTAATTAGTAATATTAGTAATAACTAATAAGTATTATTTTATTATTTATTTATATATTTATAATTTATGTTACAATAGACATATTATGTTGTTATGTGTTTATAATATAATAAAATATTTAAAATTATTTTCATTTCATACGAGGACGGGCTGATTATATAGTAATGTCTCAGTCTCATAGTTATTTTTAGATTTACGATAAAAATTTTATTTGTTGTGCATTAATAGTTTATGTCATTGGTTTAGAGTGTTTGCCGTTTGTATGGTTTAGTGTGTGCGAAGACACGACAGTGTAATGTTATTTTTTTATTATTTATTGAATCTATAATGACGACCTCTTCAGATGTGCGGTTCAAACAGCGCGCTGTTTTTGAATTTCTCGTTGTAGAAAATGTGAAATCAGTCAATATTTATAGACGTCTGCTTGCGGTTTATGGTTACCTAACTCTCGATATAAGTTCGGTTCGTCGTTGGGAATTACGGGTTAAAGGTTTTGAAGTAGAAAAAACGATTATTGGTAAATATAACTTGAGTAAAATCATATTGTTTTTAAAATACCATAATTAATTATTTAAAATATGTGTTTATTGGTAAGTATGTGACTTTGAGAAACACTGAGTTTTTCAAATTTAAATTAATACTAATGAAATTAACATTCCAATAGTTGAATAATTAAATAACAACATTTTATAAATTTTAATAAAATATTTAGGTATCGTAAATTCGTTATTTAAAACAAATTTGAATTTATACCTGAATCTGAATAATATCGAGTTGAAATAAATGTAGCAATACTGCAGTAGTTACTAATTAATAATGAATAGATCATATAATAGGTTATGATTATTGTGAAAAAAATTAAAAAAAGTAAACGTTTTTGTGAAATGTTCACAATAAGTGCTGCAGTACTGCAGTACTAAAAGTATTCGATTTATCTATTAATATTTTTAATGTTTAATTATATTTTATTTAAATAATAACTATTTGAATTAAGACTGAGAAAAAAAAATATATTAGGTAGTTATTTAGGAAAGTACTAATGGATTGTAGATCTACAGTAATGCTATTTGCGTACTTAAACCACTACTTCCAGCAACCGGATATTAAGTGATTTGAATAACAAAGCAGTAAAAAATATAACAACAAACAAAATGTTATTTTATTTAATTAAAAACAAGGTACCTATATCTATGTCAAAGCTTAAATAGTGGCCAAGTGACTGAAGGTGCTCAGGTATTAATGGCTATGGTACATATTCCATTGATGTTCTCTGAGCTCCCTTATAAATGGAATCAGTTCCTTGTTATGATAGCCCACGGCTTTGAATTTTGCAGGTATCCTTGGAGTTGTTTTAATATCAAAAATTTGAAATAACAAATTTGTTATTGTAGAAAACGATCTCCAAGATGCATTTTACTCCTAATTGCCAATACGCGCAAGTGCAATCTCTTGTTGCAAAAGGGCGACCTTAATGATGCAGTTTCACCTTAGTTACTGACACGTGTTATGAGTATAATATTATTATAATATATTCTGATATTTTGTAGCCCACGACAGTAGATAATATTATGAAATATGTAGTTCATTTCTAAATAGAACCCCTTGTAAGAAATTCATAAGCAACTATTTAAACAGAATTTCGAGTATCACCTTATCAAGAAATGATAAGACGTGCTGATTTTATGGAAGTTATCTTATTCTGTGTTATCTACTACGAAATATAAACGAGATAATCAGTGAATTCAAAAAATGAAAATATAAAATTAGTATTAGAGATGTACTGTTAATTAATTAAAATATTTCTATTTATTTTTATTAACGTATTGTTTTTAAGGTTTTAGTAGTAGGTCAGTTCTATCATCTTATCCTATCGCCTAAAAGTAAAACATAAGAAAAATTATGCAACATGTCACTTGAGGTAGATTCTGATAATTATGATCCTGAAAATCTAAGTCACCTAACTAAAGAGGTAATTTTTTAACAACATATTATTTTTTGGTACTTAGTACTTACATATTTTATTTTAACAATTAAAACTAGTAAATTTATTTGCAGGAACTGATTAGGATAATTTTAGACCTCAAAGAGCAGAATGTTAACCGCAAGAAGCTGACTAGAAAAATAAAACCTAAAAGAACTATTGATTTCTCAAAGTAATAAAATATTTTATGTTTAAGAAACTTACCATATTATGAATACAAATATTTTTATTAAACATTTAATCATTATTTTCATTGTACTTAAGACAAACATAGTATTAGGCAGATAAAATTAATTTATATAAGCGCTTGCGTATATTTGAATTAGTACAATTTATCATATTATTTTACTTTGAAAAATTCAATGACATCAATTCTTTTTAAAGAATTCTAACCATTAGTATATTTTTACATTATCTTTTTAGGTGTTTTAGAACTTTAAAAGTGTATACATTTAGATATTTAAATATGTTAGAAATATTGTTAGTTAAAAATTCTGCAAGTGAGATCATCTATTATATATGTCAGTTTTACATTTACTTTTAATCAGCTACGAGAAAATTTTGCTACAATTAATATTATTACACAATTATAAGCATATATTTAAGACAATTTTTGATTTAATAAAAAATAGTACAAAATTATTTTAATTGTTATAGTTTGAAGAAGGATATTAATCTAGGTATATTTAAGTAATATCATTATAATTATTCATGTTTTATAATCTCATAACCTATTAATTTATTTTGTACCTAATTATTATTTACATATAATAATAATTGAGGGTTTTAATATAATTTTATTTTTATTTTTATTAAGCATAAATTATCTAATTCATTTATATTTATTTTTGTAGGTATCATAAAAGGCATGTCGTTTTTAAATTATTATACTTGGGATGGGACTATCATGGATTTGCTACTCAAGAAAATTCTGAAAAGACTATTGAACATGAATTATTTCGTGCACTTACTGTATGTTGTTTAATAGAAAGTCGTCAAACCTCAAATTACCATCGTTGTGGAAGAACTGATAAAGGTGTTAGTTCTTTTAGTCAGGTAAAAATATATATATATGTAATACATAAGTTCAATTGGTATTAGATATATTAATAAATAAAATAAGTAGTATAAATTATTAAGTACCAAACTATTATTCTATTATAGAATTGCTTTACTTTGTATAACTTAGGCATTTTATTTTACAGGCGATTTCTTTGACTGTAAGAAGTAGTGGTGATGAAAATAATGAATTACCTTATTGTAAAATGCTCAATAGATTATTACCGAAAGATATAAGGATAGTGGCCTGGAGTCCAGTCAAAGAAGATTTCAGTGCCCGATTTGATTGTGGGTCTAGAACATATAAATATTGGTTTCCTAGAGGTGATCTAGATGTGGATGTTTGTATTTTTGTAGATAAATATGTTCTTTTTGATATTTGAGTAGTAAAAAACTGACAAATTTTTCAAATTATATTTAGTTGATGAATCAAGCTCTACTGCATGTAGTTGGAACACACGATTTTCGTAACTTATGCAAAATGGATGTTGCTAATGGTGTTGTACAATTTTATAGAAGGATCACAAGGGCTGACATTAAAATATGCTCTGAAAATAATCAATTTTCAACAAATAGAAATTATGACATGTGTGAACTTACCATTGTGGGTAAGGCATTTCTTTGGCACCAAATTCGATGTATAGTATCAGTACTTATATTAGTTGGATGTCGTAAAGAAAATGAAAATATATTTAAAGACTTATTAAACATTGAAAATTGTCCAAGGTATTTAGTTAAAATATTATTTTTTTTAAATACATAATAAAAATGTTTATATTTGTAGGAAACCTCAATATTGTTTAGCCAGTGACTTACCTTTAAATTTATTTGATTGTCAATTTGAAAATATCAATTGGATTATTGAAGATGAGTCTATATCGGAAGTCATTACTAGTCTACAATGTTCATGGGCGACAAATATGATCAAGTATTTTTTTTTTTTTAATTAATCATCTCTTAAACATTATTTATGTTGATTCTCAATTAAATTATTTTTAGTTCATAACAGCTATAATTAATACAATAAATACTAAACAGTAAATTTATTTTGAAATTGAATTTGTTTATTAAAATAACTTACAGAGCTACAATGTTGGGAGAAATGTTAAAAAACACTGAAACCTTAGCAGAAAACAATGTTAACAATCAAAGCAAATGGTTAATACAAGGTGTCAAATCTAAAATTTATCAGCCACTTCTGAAAAGACCGGCTAGTGGTAATATACTAATATAACATTATATAATATTAATAAGATATTAAAAAATAATATTCATTTTTATGAACTTATTCAAAAACTATTTTTAAATACTAATTCAATGAATTAAATATATTTTCTTCACAATTTAGTTCTTATCATTATCAGTCAATTTTTATCAAGTACACTCAGACAATGCCTGTGCAAAGGAACTGTTTTATTTTAGTTAAACTTTTGTTTAAGGTTTACAATTAATATAAACAAATAATAGTATATCAAGTAGTAATTTTTTTAATTAAGCTTTAAGTTACTACAATATTTAATAATGTTACTATTATGCATGATAGTAAAAATTTAAGAACACAATAATATATAATTAATAATTATTAATTACATGATATGTTTGGTGTGAAATTAATTAAAAATGTGTGTTATTATAAAAAAAGTATCTAAATATAATAATGAACATTTATTTTATTGATAACATAACTACTAAATATGAATGAAAATATTTTTTTCTTTTGCAGCGAGTTTAGAAAATCGGATTCAATACTACACAAAAAAAGGGAAGCTTAAATTAGAATGCAAAGAAAAATAACATTTTTGTTTACATTTGTAATATAATATAATTTCTTCTACCTATTTTTTTTTATAGATCCATATCTATACCTGTACCTATGTAATCCATACAGAATAATACAATGGCAAACATGTAGTAAAGCACTGCTAAATGCTGTTGCAGGAAATGTATTCCAACATATTTCTATGAGGCCTAGTACAATTAGTCTAAACTTATTTCCGTAAGGTGTCGACCATAAAAGAAATGGCAGCGTATGGTAGTACCATACGTAAAATTGATAGTGTAATGAGCGGCTGAACATTATTCCAATAAAATTGGCTGAAAACATGGGCAACAAAAATAAATTTGCACTGATATCCATGTTGATGTTGATTTTCTTTTTCTTCAGCTGAGGTTTTAAATCGTGTTCGATTTGTTTCATTTTGGCATACGAGTTCAAATACTTTATCCATGTCGCAGTGAAACACAATAAAACTGTGAGGTGTATGGCCAGTAACAGTGTATGAAAATATCCACTCACAAAAATATTAGGTGGGACGAATTTCCAATTCACTGACCATTTGTACATAAAGACTCTGGACAAGTCAAATGCGCCCTGTACATAGTTTATAGGATTGTTGATTAAAAACGGCAAACCCAACAGTAATTGTACTAGAGCACAGTACGTTATGTGTTTGATTGTTCCTTGTACACCAAATTTAGTGATATACGCTATTAATAGTACAGGGGAATAGAGCAGGATGTTCATTTTGATGGAAACAGCCAAACTGTAGACTATGCTGCCAATCGCCCATTTATTCTTTAGAAACATGTAAATGGACAGGTAGAGTAGTATTACGGCAATTGGATCATTGAACAGTCGCAACACATATATAGAATGGATACGATATGAAGAAAAACATTGCAACAACATGACAAACGGTGGCACTTTTTTACTGCGTTCATGTATTTTGAACACCAAGTATATGTTGATCAAATACAGTAACATGAATATATATTGGCCAACTCTGATGTTCTTACCGAATGCGGTCAAGTAGTACAGTACGGAGTACACGTACACAAACCCGGCCGGGTACACCAAAGGTCCTGTGTCACCTTTCAGTTTGCCATAATCAAATGTACCGTTTACCACGACACCTTCGACTTCTTGCATATATGCCTTCCAGTCAATTTCTGTGTACTTGACTGTTTGTATGATATACAAGTTTAGCACAAGTTCGATGGCAATGACAATCCATTTGATCGACGAAGTATACGAAGGATCGAACAAGTACGACTTTATGTTTTCTAGTGACCCGTGAGTTTTTACAGTTTTTATACATTTTTTCCACATATTAATATTATAATTATTCGTTCTAAATTTATGTTTGTTGTGTAAAATATACTAATATCTTAATAAATTAAATTATGAAACTAGAATAATACGAATAAGTAATAATTAAAAGATGATCGTTGATCATTATGTTACCGCACACATACAAATCGTTATCATAGAGTGTAGACTGCGAATAGCTGGCAAAAGCTGCAGTAGCCAAGCCAGCGTAAGCGAAACATGTTCTCACGTGTCAACTAAAATATGGTTGATAAGCCTTATCATCGTTGTTGATATCATAACCGGCTTTGCGCCTTTGCGATCATATTATTTAAAAATATTCATTAAACGCATACACTTAACACCTACGATCTACCCAGTATAGTTGGGTACTTTTGTAATAATAATTAAAAAGCAGCAAAAGCCAAAAAGACACATCAAAAATCTTAATATTTTAACGTGTTCTATGCGTTGCCACGTCTCTTCTATTTTTAGCATACGTCTTCGAATGGAATAATGGTGATTGCGCGCTCACGGCCGTATTTAGAATTGTTGAGCCCCTGGACATGTAATTTATTAGGTTGTCCTATTTAGGGTTGCCAAATCAAAAACTCAAAATACAAATAAATTGTGCATATTATCATAGTACCTACTTATACTTACATTCATGCTGTTGATTGTTCACATCTAAATAACGTTTTTCAGTCATTGTGCTTAGTGAAAAATTTGTATTGTTGTATAAATGACTGTAGATTTTTAATTTTCACGAAAATGGAACAAAGTGATGAAAATTTCAATAAATAGAACATTTTCAAAAATGGTTTTTTTTTATATAAAAATATTTATTAAAAATATAGTGATACAAATATTTTATAAAACAATTTGGTTTATCTACCTCCTGTAAGCAAATCTTGTGTTGAAGATGGAGAGTTATTTCCATAAAATCAACAAACTAAATACGTTTTTAATAAAATAAATAAATACTAAATATTTCTTGAATTTACAATTCAAATATGTAAACATTTGTTAATGATTTCTTTATATTAATATTATTATTTCTTAAAATTATTATTACATTTGAAATATGTTAGTCCTAAATAAGCAACACATTTCTGGTTTATATCTTTTTTAAATTAATTTTTATAACGCTCTATTCACTATTGTATATAAATCATACAATTGCGAATCATTATGTGCTTGGTCAAATCCTCAATTTTGTTTTATCAAAAAGCTGTATCGTAAATAGTTATAGTGCGATTATTTAATTAGGTAACGACAGGCACGTCGTCAAGGGGGGCCTTAGGGGGCCTGGCCCTCTAAGAAAATTCAATGGTCCCAAACTGGCCTCCTTGATTTTATTTTTAAATATTTTAAATATTATGGCGTTTATTCGTCCCAAATCTTGAATATATATTATATTACTCCATATAATTAACAATCGTATAACAAAAATTTAATTCTAAGATTTTATTTTATAAATATTTGTCACTCAAAAATTGGATATGAGAGTATAAGACATATATAATAGATTGAAAACTAGAAATTCCAAGTACGGTTATCGCACATTGATGAACACAACTACGGACAATATTACAGTAGTGAACCTATGTGATACGATAAACATGTCAACAAAATAACAATAAAATATTATTCTCTATTGAGTTTGAGTATTGATTCATTCAAAACACGCAGCGTTGTAGACCGAAGTAGTTAACAAAGTACGATATAATAATTATTAAGAGAACTTTAATAAGTTATTTTAATAATCAAAAAAACTTGAGAACCGAGAGGTAAGTATGATAATTATACATGGATACTTCGGATAAATTTTATCTACCAAAGTCTTACTTACTTATATCTTATAATTATATTTAATAATTATTGTAATTATTTCCTTATTAGTTAATAATTAATGTTAATAATGCATTCATGTAATTCTGGATATTCTAACAGTAGGTAATAGGTAGATATTAATCCGTATTAATTAATAGGTGCATGTTGGTTTTTATAATACCAATATAAATGTATAAATTGTACCTACAAGTAGAAAGATAAAATAAATTATAAAACATAAAATATATGGTTAAATAAATTAGATCATGTGGACATTCACGCTTGATATCTGACGTATTAAAATAAATTAATGATTTGTCATTCGATTATTTTAAGTTTAATATCTAGGTACTTAATGTAGCAAAAAATGAATTATTATTTTTTCGTTTTATTTTCACACTGACGCATGGCTGTATATATATACATGATAAACCTAATACTTATATGCAGTGCCGGATTTAGAAAATTTGATGTTCGGGCCAATAAAAATGTAACGTCCTTACATGATTGGAGCTTCGGGTTTACCGGGTCTCAACACAAATCAAAAAGTATATTTTTATTAAAATTATTGTCTCCTTGTGTATAGTTTAGAATATATTATTATGTTAATATTATACTTATAATATCATTAAAAAATATAAAAAGGTATAGGTTATACATACACACTAAATTGTCTAAGTTGAAATATCTATTTATATGCTAGGTGTCTAGGTATATAAATAAAGTATTATATCATAGCCATCGATTAGTATTTAATAGGTATTGGCGTAGAAAACCTATTGATGAGTTTATTGTTACACACTTCTCATTAAAAACTGTTTCATTTGATTCATTTTTATTAATTTCATCCATTATATCATAGGCCTTGAACATTTGTTCATATCTACTTACCTATCGCTAGGCATATATAATATCTCAAAAGCGATTATCTGTTAATTTCATTTTAAAGATTGTTTATATGACGGTAATAAGTTCTAATGCAGACAAATTTTGTTTTCATTCGTACATATTTAAGCATTACGAAGTTTATCGTTGACGCTTTATTGAAAAATTAATAATGGAAGGCTGTATACCTGAAACGTTTAGAAATGGGACAGTCTTAGTGACTGGAAGTACGGGGTTTCTCGGGAAAATACTCGTTGAAAAAATACTCAGATGTTGTCCTATAAAAAAAATTGCCGTCCTAGTGAGAAATAAAAAAGGAATTGTTGCTAATCAGAGAGTGGCAGATATCTACAAACAAGCCGTAAGTAATTTATTTTCTTTTTAATAATAAAACATTATTTACAATTTTAGTAATGTAGATTAAACACCATTAATGTATTTTTTAAATGAACCATATTATTTAACTGAATACGTTTGTCAGTTGTTTTAAATAGGTATAGTATCAAGATCATACACGAATAAATGCCTATTTCTGATGTACCTATAGTTCTATTAGATTAGTGTTGCAGATATATTTTATACTATAAATTTCATAGCAATTTAAGTAAATTATAATATATTTTATTAAACCTTTACTACAAAAAATGAATACAGACAAAATACTCTGCAGAATACCGCCTTGATATCCTTAAAAAATAGAGCAGATGAACAACAAAAAAGTGATTTTTTTATTTTTTGATAAACTTTTTAATGGATTAATTCGGTGGTTGTCATTATAGCACACTTTCAAAAAAGGTCGTTGTTCAAAACCGCACACTTTTATATCTTAATCCCGCATATTTTCCCCAAATTAAACCGTTTAATACCGCACACATCAATATGTTTCAATAACATATACATTTATTTAAAATAACATTATCATTTAGTACCACACACTATAGTTAATCATATTTAATTAAGATCACAAAATCTGAAACCAAGTTTAGACTCATACGAAACGACTACGTAAATCGTACATGTAAAGTATGTAGAAAAAAAGAAAAATATATTTTAAATTTATATAATCGTTTCGTGACCAAGGAAATAAATTTAATTGATTATTTAAAAACATTTGGATGTAAATTTATTTCAATTTAATTATACTAAATTATTTATTTATAATAAAATATTATGCTTAATTTTTAACTGTCAATCAAATGTGTGCGGTTTTGAACTATTAACCTTTCAAATTTACTTTTTTAACAATAGTATAAATATGTGCGGTATAAACGGTGTAAAATGTGTGGTTATGAACAGTAAATGTGCGGTAATGACGACCGCCGAATTAATCCATTAAAAAGTTTATCAAAAAATAAAAGGTCACTTTTTTTATGCCCCCAATATTATTGAAAGGTTTAATTTAAGGTCCGTGTATCTACTGCAAGAGCCACAGCCTACAACACTTAAACATTTCTTACACGTTCCTCCTTCATAAATCAACAGAACACAATAAGAATCAATTGTAAATTGTTTACCGAATTTTAAATAAAGTGAATAAATAACCTACAGAAATCGACGTCTTCCCTCTTACATTAAACTAATTAAAAAAAAAAAATTAGAACATAATATCACAATAATAAAATATTATTACTCATTATTTATTAGTTTAGCCTAAATTACTATATTACCTTTTATTTTATTACTAAGTAATATTCTTATCTTATTTATTTTTTTATTATTCTCTTTGTTTACTTATACCAAATGTCTAATTTTTACTTAAATATTTATATTTTATGTAATATTCCATTATAATTACTCAAAGTTCGTTTAGTCGTTGATTTATAATAATATGCTTTATGTACTAACTCAATAATTGTTATTAAAATTAACCTAATAACAACGACATGTTTTGAATTTAAAAAAGAGCCGTAAAATGTCTGTACACATTTATTCAGAAAGTAAAAATCAATCAATACGCGTTTTAAAATATAAATCATATAAAATATAATTTATAGTTAATTTGATTTTTAAATATTTATTAATTTATACAAATATAAATATATAGACATAGTAACAATATGTAAAATTTAAATGTACCCATCATGTATAGGAAATTTAAATAATAATAATAATTGTTTATAACGTGGGTATAGTTAAATCTTATGTTTTTAATGTAAGTATTTACGACAGTTGTAATTAATTTAAAAGATCATTTGTAAATAATTGTCATAATTTATTATTATATTATTTATAAATTCATTAATATATCATAAATTGTCAATTAAATATTTTTCGATGGATAATCACTTCTTTATTTAAGTATTAATTTTAAATTTAGAGCTTTTGACTAAAATTAAAAATTCAATTTAA